TTTAGGGTTTAGGCATTTAGGGATTTAGGGGTTTAGGGTTTAGGGGTTTAGGGTTTAGGGGTTTAGGGGTTTAGGGTTAAGGGTTTAGGGTGGGTTTTAGGAGGTGTTGGGGTTTCGGGGTTTCGGGGTTTCGGGAGGGTTTTAGGTGTTAGGGTGAGGTTTTTGGGGGTCAGGATTGAGGAAGGTGGTGTGGGAGTTAGGGTGGAAATTTAGGGGTTGGGGGTTTTGGCTGTTGGGGTTAGGGATAAGGGTGATGGGTTTAGGGTTAAAACCCTAAACCCTAAACCCTAAACGGTTTAGGCTTTAGGGTTTAGGGTTTAGGGTAGTGCTTCAAACTTGGGGCCTCTGGTTCAGGACGTCAGGGCGTTCGGAGGAAGTGCGGTTGAACTTCTGGCTTTCGGGGTTTAGGATGGTGTCCATGAGTCTTCTGAGCTCAGTCTTGAGAGTTTTGGACTTTTGGGTTGAGGATTTGGGCGGAAGGGTTTGGAGGATCCTAAGGGCTTAGGGTTTAGGGTGCCTTCAACAAGCTAAGCTCTAACCCCCCAAAAGGCCCCTTTAACCCTAAACCCTGTAGTAGTTTGCCTCGGCAAACCTTTCTCTGGGTTCGGCAGCGCGATACTTGACTGCTTTTGTTGAGAATGCTCCTCGAAGGAACCATTATGGCATAAAAGTCCTGGTGACTTCAAAGTCCAGCATAGTCCCTTTCCCTTTTCGGGTCGCCCTTTATTGTCCAAGAGGTTCAAACATGGATCCAAAGCATAGAAGCTCTGTCACAAGTTGTTCGTGTTGGCAACACTAGCCGGACAAGAGCCCCTTGGTGTCTCACATCACTGAGATTCTGGAGCACAGGAACCCCAAAGAAGCCCTATAGTACCATATGAATAGCAATGACAGCAATGAATAGCCCGAAACTAAATTGAGAGTACTTGTCGAGGTCTCGTAGGTCTCGTAGCTGCAGACGACGGATGCCGGCCCTAGAAGAGGTGTTAATCCCACAACCCCCGGAGTCACTGCCAGGGTCTGAAGAATCGGTAGCAGTGTCCCCAGGGTTTCCTACTATATTTGTAGCTCAGACTTCCCCAAACCCTAGTCTCATTATTTAGCTCTCTATGGCAAACCCCTGCTAAAACCCGTGAAGCCTGTTAACGCCCTGCTTTAGGCCTCCTTGGTAGCCGTTGGGCTCGAGGCAAGTATCCGAATCCCGTCGACTTAGGTGTAGGCTGAAATCCTACAGCCTGGAATCCCTAACTTAGTAACTTCGGACTTTACCCCGACCCCAAAGCCCTGGAGCCCTAACTCTAAAGCCCTGGAATCCTAAACCCTAAGCCGACTAACTTAAAGTCGCCCCTGTCTGAGGTTTTTCCCGGTTGTCTACACGGTGTTCTCAGCAGCCCGGGTCCCCAACCAGAGCTTCTCGAAAGGAGCTCCATGTGGCTTTTAGGGTTCGGGGTGTGGGTTTAGGGTTCAGGGTCTGGGGCGTAGGATTTAGGTTACATTTTCGGGTCTGGCATCGTATTGTAGAGGTCTGAATAATTAGCAGCAGTATTCTCTTTGCGTCCCTCTGAGTGAGTGAGTGAGTGAGTGAGTGAGTGAGTGAGTGGATGGCCCGGGGTGCACTCCGGCCGAGCGGAAACGTTCCCTCCCGCCATCTCTTCCCCCCTCCGTTTTCGTCATCGGGGAGATCCGTCAAGAGTTCGACGCTCCGAGCCCCTGCCAAGACAGCCCACTTCGCAGGAACAGAAGCTCTTCCCCCTGTGATCCCTCACACGGGTACTAAGCTGGGGGGGTGCTGGATGGCCGAACCAAACACGCACACACGCACCGGCAGCAGGACTAAGGGGAAAAGCACGCTCAGCTGATCCCCTTTTGGCTGCGCAAACTCAATCAGTATTCCCCTGGCGTGTGGGGCAGTGCCTGTAACTGAAAGAAGGGGCAACTTTGGGTCCCTCTATAGCGACAGTACGAAACCCAATTCCAATCATGAGGGTCCTGAGACAACCCTATAATACCCGTGCCATAAGCCTTCCACACGGCTTCTATTCAAGGGTTTGTCACGAATTGCACGGGTTCTGTAAGGAGTTCGTTCACAATTTTATATAGGTTCTGTAAAGGTTTCAAGATCTTTACACCCAACTCGTCCTCGTGGGCTTGGAGTTCGGCAGAGCCTCTGCGTTTTGTGCTGCCCGTCGGACTAACGATCCCTCGAAGTGGGCCACCGGCCCAGCCCAAAGCATCAAAACAAGCAAGAACGGCAACATGCTGTGGAAACCCGTGTATATAAATGTACAGACATGTGGATAAACATACGCATCTATGTATGAGTACCATGTGTACAGATAAGCTGGGCTAATCATCCCCCTATTGCCTAGGGCTTCGGGCCAGCAAACCCCGACCCCGGACTTCAATGCCCTACACCCGAAATCCTAAAGGTGCGGAGCTATTGCAACGATAATGCGGATTTCTTCGACATGGTCCAGCTTGGCATGACGCTGGAGGACAGGGGCAGGGTTCGAAGCTATAGGGTTTGAGACTTGTTTCTGTTTGCTGCAATCTGCTCCCTGAACCCTAGACCTTAGATCGTTGTGCTGCAGGCATTGATGAAGCTGGCAAGAAAGATGTGGGCTGCAGATGACCGCGTCAACAACGCCATGACACTGATCCTGAACAAGGTCCGGGCTTTCGATTTCGGCCGAGTGGTACAACCATCGGCCCCCATGCTGCCCCTCGAGTGTTTAGTAAAGCTTGTCTTGACCATCAAGCGAATCAGTTTCAGAAGCTTCAGGGTGCATGAAGGATCACATGGAAATCGTGCTTTGCAGAAACCCCCAACACCCCCAAATCCGGAACCACCCCTTTAGAAATAGAACCCCTGTGAAACCGTATAGAGCGCTTTTTGAAACTATATGAAGTCCTTGCATAGAACCTAACTGTGCGACTCGAGGCCTAGCAGTAGAGTAGGTAACCTTTAACCGGTCACTATGATCCTGATATTTTTTTAAGGGTCCCAGTTTAGGTCCGCAATATAGTATGGCACCCTTATATAAAGGACCCTAAACAGGACCATAATTTAGAGAACTACCCATATACTCCCAAAGCTTAGCCTTTGGTTCCCTTAGGACCTAAACCCTAAACCCTAAACC